TATTTACATCAAATACCGGATCTGTTTAGATACCGTATTTCTTGGACAGCGCATTTTGCCTCGTGCGAACGCTAAATACCGGATTTCTTGCTACGTGTGAACGCGGCTAATGGCACGATCCTCTGGCAACAGATGTTGTTTCAGCAATATGTGAAAACGGGTTAGCTATTGGTTGGTATTACTGTAACGTACTTAACCCTAACTCTTTCGAACTGCACCAAAAAAGGAGTGATATACAGTTCAAACACAGCTTATATTCACGAGACCGCATATTGTTCCAGCATGCATTTATTTTGGTCTATTTATTCAAAAAACTATGCTTCAAACTTACTCTGAACACAAGGTCACATTCAGAAGACTAAGTTTAGAATACAGTTTCCAGACAAAAGGAATGAACCAAGTTTAGAAACAGCGTTAGTAACACAGCCTTCACATAAATGGAGTACACGTAGCCTTCAATATACTATGTCAAACTTCTAGTAACCTGATAAGAGAAGATACGATTTGGACCTGATTTGTCAATCTATGGATTAAAATGTACTTAGTACATGTTAAATTTTTATTAGGTCCTAAAGTATGGTCTCCATATCTGATGCATCTTTCTAAAAGTCGTTTTATACTGCGCACGACTTTAGCCCGCTTCTGAAGCGGGATAACTTTAGCTCGAAAAAAGGGGGGATCCGGACCCCCTCGACCCACCCTCTGGATCCGCCCCGCTTAACCACAACTCATAAATGTATGCAATAAAATGCGCTCGATAATATTACACTTTACATACGCACTCATAAGCATGAGCACAATAAAAAACTAGAAAGGGCAGTTGTTGCCAACTACATGTATCCCCCGTGATCTAGTATGAATGAAATATCTCTGTAAGGACATAGAAGGTAGGTAAAGTTAAATAAGTCACAAAGACAAAGGTTTGTTACACAACTGATCTGCCTCAGATGTGCAAGTATGTCGAATCTGGTTACCCTAGGAGGCTGAAGAGGAAATCTAAGTCGATGGTCAAGGTCAAACTAAGGTCAAGGTCAGTGGTGAAAACACACTATAAAAAGAATCTTACTGTATAATACTGTGCTACACGGAAACAGTACATAATGGCAATGTATGGAAGGTATAATAATTACATTAGCACACAGAGATGACGTCATTTAATCAGTGACGACGCAATTTAAAGTCTCGTGTTTTTTACAATGCCTTAACATTTCCTCGCATAATCCGCTATGTTGATTAGGGTTAAACTAAAAGTCAGAGAGATTATCGTCAAGTCCAGAGTAAAGGTCAAAGACAGGTGCCAATGCGCACTTTCTCTCTCAGACGTGTAAGTATACCAAGAGTCGTTGCGCAAGTAGGGGAAAATAAAAAAAATAAAAAATAAAGGTCGCAGTGATCTGGTTTTGGTATGCGACAGACCTTCTCCCCAAGATATGTAAGTATACCAAATTTGGTAGGGCTAGGTCAATTGGGGGCCGAGTTAGAGAGCGGAAGGGAAATATGATCAAGGTCAAGGTAAAGGTCAAATAAAGGTCGCAGTGACCTGGTTTTGGTACGCTGCTCACCTTCTCCCCAAGATGTGTAAGTATACCAAGTTTGGTAAAGCTAGGTCAATTAGGGGTCGAGTTATAGAGCGGAAGGAAAATTCTCTGCGGCGGACCGAGCGGCGGCGGCGGCTGGGGAGACATGAAACCATAGTATCCCTGCCGACTTCGTCGCTGGGGATACAATTACATGCAGTAGCAGAGCAAAACATTGTGTTATAACAATGGGAGAAGCAATGTGATGATGACTAGCCAAACGACTATCCTACCCACCAGACGGCATTTACCCGCAGACTGCTCTTCTGTTTTGCACGCTCGTGGCTTAAAACTAAATTTGGAATGACTCGACTATCTTGTGCATCTTCTTCTTCTGTTTGCAAGAATCGTCGCGTTGCAATAGCAACCGCAGCTGTTCGTACGACAGGTTGACCTTATCCTGTATGAGGCTGGCGTCGACAATTCTGTAGCCAGTGTGGAGATTATCAAGTATGTTCATGTCTGCCTTCGACAACTCAATGCCAAAAACCTGCACCAACAGCAAGCAAGACAGAAGAACGTTACAAAGTCTGTCGACAACAAGCATCTCACTCGTACTTTTAGCCGACTGTTGCTTTCCGCGCGATTGGCCAATCCGCCCGACGTGACCAACAGGCGACTCTAGGCAACCGGCGTTGAGAGTTAACGTTTTAAAAACAATGCTGAGCAACGACGTGCCGCCATGTAGTTATATTGGCGTGCACCACATACAAACTGGGCGAGCTTGGCAACCATCCCAAAGGTGGATTAATTAACATTGCTTTCATCATCAAACTGCTGCTGTGGTCTAAAATCACAGGCTCGTACGATAGTCTCCGAGTATAAATTCATGCATGCGTGTTTAATATTACTTTGAGATTTTCTCCTAAATAACGATCAATGTATACATACATGTAAAATATGTGATAACTATTACAATTCTCCAAATTAATTAATAATGTTGGACCATTGCAATGATCCAATTATGACTATGTGCTATTTGAAAGAAAAATATAGACTTACCTGAGCATTCTCCTTCAGTCTCTTCTCACTTGTTGACTTAGGTATGGCCACAACGTCATTCTAAAAACACGAGTGCTCACATATAAAAATCTCGCATAAAACATGAAACGAACATGTGCTGCCATCTAGTATGTAAAACTGTCACAAACTGGGCTAATTTCTCACAGGCTGCCCACGCCACACTTGACCTTGCCACATGAGCTTAAAATAGACGGCCTCGTCCACAACCAGGCTACCCAATAAAGCAATCTATTTATTTAACAATGACGTTTAATGCTACACACGAACACTTCGCAGTGAGAACATATGCGAATGCTGGCTACATATGGACAAATACCTGTATGGACCATCGTAGCAACACTTGTGCTTCAGTGCAGTTGTTGCGCTTGGCAATCTCCTGTATCGGAGCCTTATCAAGCAGCGTTCTCTTAGCCAACGGAGAATACCCCTGTCAACATCAATCACCAGCGTTATGGGCAACAAGCTAGAACCAAGCTAGAAACTGAGATAGCCGAGTCATTAAAATAGATAACACTTGCTACTGACAGTTTCAATTCGACAAGATCTGAAGTATATAACACAAGAGTCGATAAACATTCATGCCAGGCTAGCTACATGCTCACCCTGGCCACTGCGCAATTAAGTTCCTTCACTCTCCTCGCGTAATACATATGCGAGATGAAAGGCATACTAATATCTAATGCGCATTCACGATCCGTGAACTCTTGCCAAAAATTTTGCTGTAGCTCGATTCTCAGATTTTTGCCCCCTGCACGCATCAAGAGCTTGTCACTCGATACCTCAAACTGGATTCCTCGATCTCTGCAGTACGCCACGAGCTCCTTCGGGTTGTGGTAGGGATGGTATTCGACCTGGTTAACGTGTGGAACGATCGTACAATCCTGCAGGAACTCGTCCAGGTGATGTATCAAGAAATTGCTCACTCCGATGGCCCTGCACAACCCTGCGACAGCACAGAACGTTGTTACAGCGATGACGTTACATGTGCACGACACGTGTTACATGTTACACGCACACAACAGTGGTGTCGTGTGCATGTAACACGTGTCGTGTGCATGTAACACATGTCGTGTAACATGTAACACATGTCGTGTGCATGTAACACGTGTCGTGTGCATGTAACACATGTCGTGTGCATGTAACACGTGTCGTGTGCATGTAACACGTGTTGTATGCATGTAACACGTGTCGTGTGTATGTAACATGTAACACGTGTCGTGTGCATGTAACATGTAAAACACGTGTTACATGCATACGAC